TTTTTTTTTTTTTTAGTTTTTGTTTTTCTAAAAATGATCAATAATAATAATGATGATAATTTTGATGATATTGATTTGGATGAAATTTTTAATGATTTTAATGAAAAAAAATCATCTATTCAACGACAACCATTAATTAAATATGATTTAAAGTAAGTTAATTATTGAAACTTAAGAAAAACATCTATTGTTTTTTTATGAAAAATTAGTTGTAAAACAAATCAAGATGATTTGTTTGAATTTAATGAAAATGATTGTACAGCACCAAAAATAAATCGAAAACGAACAAAAACTATTAAAAAAATTCATGTCAAACAAATGACTATGTATGATTATGCTTCAAGTGTATCATATAAACATAAACAATTTTATTCATCATTGGATAATACAATAACAACAAAAACAATTATCAAAGGACAAAAACGTTCATTAACAGTATATAGAATTAAATATTAAATTTATTAATTAAGTTTTTTTTTTTACTATTTTATTTTATTTTTTTGTCAATATAAAGGAATATCAAACATTATCACCGATTTCAAAAAAAATGAAAACAACTGAATTTGATAATTTATCATCATCATCATCAACACAACCGGATTTTATTGATAATCTTTTACGATATCTTGATGAACGTAGTCGTTGTAAAACAGAACAGCCAATAAAAGAAGAAAAAACATTAAAAAATGATGAATTGAAAACAAAAGAAAATTAAAAATTGAATTTTATGATTTAAAATAATTGAAATTTTTTTTCTTGTTTTATTTTTTTTTTGATAGATATTATTTATTGATTTTATTTTATTTTTCGTCTAGGTGTGTTTTTCTCTACTTGATTGTAAATTATTAGATAAATCAGATGTTCAAAGAAAGTTTTTCTTTAATAAATCAGATTTAGATGTTAACATTTCTTTATAATTAAAATTTGAAACACAATTTAGTTGCTCTTGATAATCACATAAAGATTGTTTTATTCTATCTGTTTTGAGACGTATTTCTTTATCATCGTTTAACTTAATTCTTTAGAAATGAAATAACGAGAGTGTCTCATATATTATAATGAGACCTTATTAATATACATTCTTTGATCGTATATCAACGATGCCTGTCATAGTCTGTAACATTTCTGCGGTTGTGTTTATCATAGTCTGTGATGTGTCGTTGCTAAGATGTCTGTCATATCTGTCGAAAGGAGAAGTCGAAAGTTCTACTCTTTCACTTCAACATTTCTTTTAAAATTGTGTTTCACAAAAGCAATATAGAACATTTTCAAATACGGCAATCGCAATCGATGTATTCTGTTGAAGCTTCGATTTAAGACAACGATTTTTCTTTTTATTCATTTGAATAATTAATTCATGGAAATAGTCAACAAGCAATACTAAAAATAAAAATAACCGCTGGGAAATATTTAGATAAGAAATAATATTGTTTATAATATAAATCTTGTATAATGGATGATGCTCTATATACTCAAAGATTTCATGTCAAAGAACTAATCAATTAAAATGTTGAAACATTATCCAAAATTTTCATGTATTTTCAGTTAAAAATTATTAAACAGTGAGTTTATAAAATGAGTTCTATGCTAATTTTACAACTGAAAACTCGTCTGAACTGACAAAATATTCGTAATTGACAAAAATTAAAAAAAAAAAATTTTCATGCTAAAATATTATTTAAGAGTCTTGAGTCTTCTATTTTAGAAGAATTTCATCTTATAGCGAGTGATTAGAAAGTTTTTAGACAAAATATTTGTTCATTTTTGATCTGCTAAAATGTATTTCCGACGAATAAAAAGCTATGAGTTTGTGTTCCTTTCTAATATGTACTTAGAAACTTTGCCTCTGTTTTTATTCGAAAATAGTAATATAATCTTTAAACACTCAAAAAAAATTAGTTCAAACGGAAAAGTTTTCTATTTTCACTATTGTAATTCGAAACTAAAACTTGATATCTTTATTTATATATCAGCTTGTAGATTAGAAGTTACCCTACAAGATGCAATTTTAAAACTTGTTTTTTAACTTTCGACAAGGCACCTAGATTTTCCTTCTTTTGTGTTTTTGAATACTCACTTTTGAAAAATCAACAATCATTTTACATTGAAATGAACTCTTGAAGAAAATCATGGTAATCCTCACTTGGATAAAAGCTACAGCCCAGTTCAATATCATATTTTGTAGAGAAGATTGTTCGCATATATTAAAAATAATTTTACGAACTTTTCAAAAAAATTTTTCACTATTCTTGAACAAAACTAGAAATAACATTTCTAAGCTCATATTCAAAACGAGCATAAACTCATAGCTGTTAACTTGTCAGAATTAAACCAAACATTTCAGAATTGCATTTAGAAAAGAATAAATAATAACTATACGATATTCTCATCTGATATTTTGTATTATAATAATTCGACTGACTCTAAATGAATTTTATTTAGAAAAAAAATTCAATTCTTATCTAGTATCTTCAATACTCTATATTTTCCATATTGAATTCTTCAAATCAATATATTTTTTTTTAATTTAAGATAGTTAATTAATTTAGTCCTTTTGTTTTTGTGATCTTTCCTTTATATTAACATCGATCGTACCGAACATATATCGTCTATAATGACGTAGAAAAATAGAGTTGAAGATCCAGATAGAAAAAAACAAACAACAATACAAGAACAGTAAGCATCACATAAGTAGAAAGAACAAATCAAAAAGAAAACTATCGATCGATATTTTGTTTTCTTTGTTGAAAAAAAAAAAAGGAGAAGCATAAACTGAAATCAATACATTTTAGCTGGTTCGTGTGCTTTAAAGCACAAATACACACACATACACAAATACACATATCTCATCGTTTCTTTTTCAATGATATTTTGCACGACAATGCAACAAAAGAAACAGACACACAATGTCGACAATATTCAATGAAAAAGAAAAGTTCAGGAATAAAGTAAAAGATCGACGTTGACTATATATATATATGCAGAACAAAAAAAAAAAAAGAAAGAAAACTAATAAACATTTACATGGACAAAAAAAATACGAGATATACTGATGACGAGAAGAAGAAATAATATTTATTGATTCTTCTTATAATTAATACTGATTTATATACAGTTCAATGTATCAATATTACTAAGACATATATCTATAGAAAAGAAAAATTTAATAAATGTAAAAATTAAATTTTTATTCTTTTTTTTTTTTTTTTACCAATTTTGACTATTATGAGGACGGTGAATTAGTTTCAATATTTCCATTCTCTTCTTCTTCTTCGTCATCATTTTCATTTTGTTCTATATCACTTTCGTCATCATTTAGATTTGCTAATATTTCTTCTTCATCTGATAATACCGATGATGATGATGATGATGATGATGATGATTTTGCTATACGTACTCGTCGACGTGCTGGACGTCGAATATCATAATCATCATCTGATTTATCATTTGTTGATGATGGACTTAATCGACGTACACGTTTTGAACGTCGTTGATTTCGTGTTTCTTCTTCATAATCACTTTCATTATCGTTTTCAATTTCTTGTTCTTGTTCTTCTT